GAACGTGTGTGTGTGTGTGTGTGTGTGTGTGTGTGTGTGTGTGTGTGTGTGTGTGGAAGGTCACCTTTTCACTGAGTATCAGTTCAACACAACTTACCCTCCGAAATTTCGACCGACAATGCAATGCCAAGATTCGTTGTACAATTTGTCGAATTCCTCTCTCACATAGGCCGCAATCTGCCAGTCCTCGTGAAATTGATCCAACGCGACCGAGGCCACATGAACCGCTTTGTCTTGCATTTCTCTGGGCATCTCAACTTTCTTGATCTCGGCCATCTGACTCGTCATTTTGTGTTAGGATAATATGAATTTGAAATGGTTGGATACGATCAGGAGTAATCGTGGCACGTAAAATTCCACTTTTATATATATTTATATGTACACATAGATACAATCGTGTCGATGATTTCTCCACGCCCTTTTTGTGTAACGCTTCTGATATCGGCAAACATGTGTGTGTGCGTGTGTGTGTGTGTGTGTGTGTGTACACCTTTGTGGTACAACTGTGATCATCAGATCCCATATCAACGTTGTGGGATGTTGAAAAGTACCGCGAGTGACACACACACACACCGCCACACATATTGTGTGCGCCCGTGTGTGTGTGTACAATGTCACATTGCTTAAATCTTTTGCTTATCCGTCTCAGCAAAGCACGGCAGAAAAGCGCACGTACATCTTGCTCAAACCCATTTAATAATGCATCAGCTTTTACATGTTTCCACCTGGATTGGGTTGGCGAACAACCAGTAAGTTAGGAATGATACGATATTGCTGGTTTGTACGTTCAATCAAAAGACTCCTGACATGCCAGGCTTCTGGGGGTGATTCAACAATCATCCGTCAATCATCGGTTGCTAAGACCAGGCAGGCATGCTAAAAATTATCAGACACGTGTGTACGCACGCGTGTGCCCTTGAGTGCGTACGCGCGCGCTCGAGCGAGTGTAGCACTGATCGATCAAGATGTGCCGATCAATGAATTGCAATCCAAATCGAAATGCAATCATGTGAATCGGACCAGTGTGAGATTGATACTGATCACCCGGTGCACGAGACAACAAAAGTCCTACTGCATAAAACAGGGAATGGAATGCCTTTTGGAAAACATAAGGAACATCTGAAACGAAACGAAATGTGGTTGGTGTTCACCGGTTGCGTGTATGATGCATTAACAGGTGGGAAAATTATATTGTGATGTTCAAATGATCGACGGTATGTGTATACTGGGCTCAGTTGTAATATCATCCCCCTCCCATCCCCGGTGAAAGGATTCAATTCCGTGGAGATATTCTAACCATCTAGAATTTGGATTGCATTCAACTTTTAGGGCAATTTTTTTCTTATCATCCACCGACCAATGAATATTGTTGGTCCTAACTTTATCCCAGATAAGCAAACGGATTTTGCGGAATGTAATCAAGTGAAATGAACATGTTTCATTCATAAAATTCAAATTAAACCTATCATCATTCCAACTGCGTTGTTTACCTGGTACACAAAAAATCAATCCGCTAGTTTATTATTAAGAAAAATCGAACAATAAAATGCTTTTGAGAGTACGTCATAAAGTCAAAGTGTGGTGATTCCGGTGGCGAGATTCAGGCACCCAAACTTAAACCAGGTGAAAGGATAAATTGCACTGCTTAACCTGACTCTGATAGCAACAATGCCTCTCATCATCGCTTTGGGTTGTAAAATAACCCACTTATTACAAAACCGCAAAAGGACATGATGACCTGATTAGACCTATGGTATTCAATTCACGTGATAAGAGCAAAGTGTATGATGTGATCAATGACTTGCATGCAACCAATGCAATTCAAGGTCGACCGCGCGCATTTACTTGACCTCGATGACAAGGATGATCGTATCGCAAGCTTGGGCG